TTCCCCACCACATTTAGAATCAATATGCATTTAGAGTATTTGGCTGAAATAAATTTCCACACGATAAGTCCGCTTTCGTTGACCTATGATTTGTGGCCAAGCCACTTCTGAAAGAAATATATGTTGCTCAGTGGGCCTGACCTGGTATAATATTTAAAAAATTGTTTCTAGTTTTATTTTCTTACTCAGCCGTCCCCTCTGTTTAAACGTACGGCCGTAACGACTGGGTGGATGTTGTCGCAGCTGTGCTCTATAGCTCAGCATGATGTCCGACGTTTCGCCGTCCAGGAGCCGAAGAAGCTCCCGGCACGTGGAGCGAAACGTCGGGCGTCGTGCCGAACAAAGCGCGGCGCAGCCCGCCACCAAGGCGGAGAAGCTGCACGAAGTTTCAAGCATTGAGCCTGAGCCCTGGCAACAACGAAAACGGATCACCGTTTTTTCGGCAATGTCGACTCACACACGTACAATCGGTGGGTGCGAGTTTGTATGCAGAGAGACACGAAGGCGTCTTCGATGAGTTGACATTCGTTGTTGGTGTGGCGGCGCAGGTTTTAACCCGACGGGACATTCCGCGAACCGGCATAACCGTTGGGCCATCTTTTTTCGATTTAAAGCTTTCGTGACTGCAGGGATTCATCTTCTTGGTTCTTTCGGTAAAGTCACGAAGAAGGGAAATAGAAAAAAGAATAAAAATAAAACATAATAAAATAATTCTCACGACGTTTCGGCCACAACGCAAGCAGCCGTCCTCAGGTGAAGACCAGGTCTGTCGGGGAGACAGCGAAATAACCAAGAAGACGTTGGGCCATCGTGGCGCCCGACGCCGACATCAGGCACGGGCTCCGTGGCGGATGGATAGAGACTGAGTTGCGTGGTCATGAGCGTCTATGAGCTGCTGTGCTTATTACGGTGATTATCGTCGATGCGGATGGCTGGATGTGAAACACCCAGAAAGCTTGGCAATTTGGAAAAAAATGAACTGCTGGGTTTGGCTGCATTGCCCCTCGCAGTTGAAAACCTCTATAATAAAAAAAAAACGTATTACAGAGGCTGGGCTACGGTCTTGTGGCAGGTGTGCAGGGAAAAACGCCAAGATAATAAACTCAAGGATATTTAATTCCCCTTATAATTAAACACTTCTGCGCTCGGCAGATGTGAAGGAATTGCACATACATATATACTTTCCTTCTCTTAAAAATTGAGACAAGAGAAACATTTTCGAGAAAAATTATCTCTCTACAACGGCTCTTGAAGTGTACTGGCCGATGAAGAGATTTCAGCTCCCAACTGCGTGTGTGGTCACAGTTGTGTGGGGAGCGGTGGTGCTGTGGTTAGCGCGCTGTGCTATGAACCCGGCGACCCGAGTTCGATTCTCCGCTCACGGCCGCCAACACCGGTGACGATTATCTGAACCGGTCCTGGGCTTACCCTAGGTCGACTCAGCCCCAAATGAGTACCTGGGTCAGTGTGTAGTAAACATCGCCACTGGGGAGACAAAGGCGGCCGGGCGTGGTTCTGGCCACTCACTCCCTCGTGTGCCGTGCCGGACTTCATAGGTGCTCGCTAACAGCACTTCCACAAAAAGTCTGTTTCAAGCTAGAAGGGGATCTTAATCTTCGTGCTACATCGCTCCCTGATGGCTCTGTAGGCTGTACCGCGTGCCTTGTTTGTGCGTAATGTCCGACGTTTCGCTCCGCATGCTGGGTGGGAGCTTCTTACTCTTCCTCACTTCCTGAAGATACCTTCATCACATTGCTCACCCGAGCGGGGGGGAGACACCGTGCCGTCTCACGTTGACTTGCTCACTCTATTGTGCAGATGTGTGAAGACTGCAACTGCTACGTTTCAAAGCACTGGGACCCCATGCTGGGCTTGCAAAAAAATGTTTTTGGAGCTCGGTTAAAATGGCTTTTTTTCTTCCTGGAAACAGTTGTTAGACCTCTCGCCATTAGTGTGACCACTGCTGGCAAAATACCCACCCAGGACCACATTCGCTCCCACCACCTCGGCGCCCCATGCTCATTACCACAATTAAGACAAAGATCCCCCGAACGGGCTGGGGCAAGTAATGTTAGCGAGCACCTATAAAGGCCGGCACAGCACACGAGGGGGATGGGTGGCCAGCACCACGCCCGGCCGCCTTTGTCTCCCGAGGGGCGATGTTTACACATCTCACAAGGTACTCATTTGAGACAGGGTCGACTTAGGGGAGGCCCAAGACCGGTTCAGATGATCGTCACTGGCGTTGGCTATGAGCGGGAATTGAACTCGGCGCCCCGGGTTCGTGGTGCAGCGTATAGCGCTAACCCCTGGTAAACCCTCTCGTCAGAACCATGACCACTGCTGCCAAAATAGCAGCCCAGAACCATCCCCCCCCAACTAACTACTTCGCCGATCCACGCTCATTACCACAATACCACTCTCCCCACACCCCTGATTCTGCAAATTTTCCCCAACAAGAAAAAAAAACCAGCCAGCCAGCAGCGCCTCTGCAATCTGTCAACTTATTTTGTTGGGGGCCGCCCTGAATGTGTCAGAAACAAAGCAAAACAAACATACGTGGTGTATATAAACACCCCCCCCCCCTGCCCCCCGCCATGTGTGCAGTCGCTCAGCTGTTCTGCTGTTATCACGGGAGCCAATATTGTGCTGTGTTTGGGTCGTTTGAGGTATCAAACAAACAAAAAACACCGATAAGTGTGTCCAAGTTTATTTCAGTTGCGCGCCTCCGATTAGCACGGTTGGCTACGTACGGTGCGAAAAAGTTCAACGTTGAATTATAATCTAAGGCGCTACGGTGGAGAGATGTCAACTACCTCGCCTAGTATACAAGAGGCTGTGGTTTCCAACCCGACCCTAAATCCTGATGTATATTTGGAGTTCGCGTGCATTTCCCCCCGGGTCCTCCGTTTTTTCCCCTCAAATTTAGAATCAACATGTGCTTCGAGTATTTGGCTGCTAGACATTTCCACGTGATAAGCCACTTCGTTGAGCTATCGTTTGTGACAGCCAGGCCGCTTCTGAAAAAGAACCTTACGTAATGAAATGTTTTTGTTTTAATAGTTTATTTTAACTTCATTCTGGTGTGTCTGCGCGTGCGTCATCTTTGCCAGTCGCGGCGTAATTCCGCTCACCTCCCCGACCCGATCAGCGTAGAATTAGGAGTAACAGGATGATGGTGCATCTAATACACGCAGACTGTGACTGGGCACCAACGACTTTAATGCAGACTCAGGAGGCTTGTGTAGCAGCAGCAACTAATACGCAGCAGCAACAGCAACAGTAACAGCAGCTCCAGCTGGCACGGCATCAGCAGCAGAATGTCTAGCAGCAGTAAGAGCAGCAGCATGGTCCGTGAAGCCTCGCCTGCCATCAGATTCACCTGATGTAGGTGTAAGTATGTTGCACTTCTTTCGCATCATACGTAGCCAACCGCGTTAATCGGAGGTGCGGGGGAAGGACTAAAAACTAAAGCCAAAAAAGCACTTCTAAAGAAATTAGGTTTTCAATCTAGATGATTTGAATGTGCATAGCTCCAGATGTACGTAAGGCTTCTTCAGGCCAAGGGGGACCTCGTGTTGATGAGGTTTTCCCTCTGTGGGTGATGAGGCCGAGTGGAAGGAGGGCGACTTTAGCATCAACTGATGGCGAGGTCACACACGCAGTCACTCCCGAGTAGAGTTAGACGACGAAATGTTATCCAGGATACGTGGACCTTAAATCTTAGTGGGATAAAGTTTGCTTTGGTACTCACTGGAGGTTAACAATGCCACGTGGCATGCGAGATATGTGAGAATTGTATTGCTGATCACAATTGCCCATGCTCGTCTTGAAATAATAATACGCTAATGAGAGGACAGAAATGGAGGTGACCGTGTGACTCCGGGGTCAGAAGCGCCGAGCCGGAACTTCTGAGAACCTGGATTTGAATCCAGGTTTCAGCCGCCTGCCATCGAACCGAATTCTCTCAGTACTGTCACCGGTGACCGCAAGCAAACACTGCAAGGCCCTAGCCATGGAGTCAACATTGGGGGGGACAAAATCTTCCATGTTGTCTGGGGGTCCAAACCCAGAAAAATATCTAAATTTGAAAAGTCATTTCCTGCCTAGAATATTAAAAAAATTCACTAACACATGGGATGGACTTTTCATTGATTTTTTTTACAATAATGTCTAATAGTGTATTGTATTACATTGCTCTGTTTTTACTTTTTTACCATTTCTTGTTTCATTGTATGTAATGGCAGAGATTAGGGATTAATAAAGTACAACCATAACCACAATCAGATAAACAGAAATCTATGCATTGATTAAAACAAAAACAAGTCCAGATATTATGGCCAAAGTTTAGCAAATTGTTGTTTTTATTTGTAAAGCATAGCAATTCTTATTTATAGTAATACATTGGGGGGGACATTTTGAGCATACTTCAATATTGGGGGGGGGGTGTGTCCCTCCCAATATATATTATAATTACGGCCTTGAAACACCGCGCCACGTTACATCTGCTTCCTGCACTTCATTTTGCCTAAAACCCATCTCCGAGCGTTGAAATTGTCGGGTTTGACTGCCCATGCGACGGACGTCCCTCTGAGCGGGTAGAAAAGCGTTGCCCTCGACCGTGCGGACCAGCGGTGGCTTGAAGGGATATCAGGGGTAGTTCTGTGATGTCCACTTCTGGTCGCACTGCTCTGTGTGTATGTACGTTGAACTGATTTCGCACCGTTCTGCAAGATATCCGAGTGTATTTTGTTGTTGTCTTATGACACGATAGACGTAGCACAGTCAGAACACAAGTTAGGAACAGAATGTGCTGAACAAGCTCTCCCGTGCGCTTTCGGCTTGTGCCGCGTGAGGTCCGACGTTTCGCACCTCAAGCCAGGGGGCGTGAAACATCACCGGCACAACTTTAAAACACATCGCAGACCTGCTGGGTAAACAACAAAAACAACAACAACAACAACTAATCAGCCGACGATGTTGCACGTTTTGTCCTTCAGCCGAAGAGGCTGAAGCCTCTCGCACAATGGCCACGCCTCGCCGCAGCTGTGGGCCCAGGTCCTGCCCGACGCTTCACGCCTCGTTGCTGCTCCCCGTCCTCCTGCTGCTGCTGGGTGGAGGAAGCTCCCTCAAGCCGCCCATCCCTCGAATCAAACTCTCCTACAAAGGTATGCCAGCATGCCAAGCCCCCGGGCCCCGTATTGCGTTAACAGCTGTGTGGCCGGGGGGGGGGGACGGCAGTCGGTTTAACCTCGTCACCCTGGACATTAGTCAACTTCTCGTGCCGAGTGGGGACTTTATTTATTTATTGCTCGTCTTGCCTCGACACGCGAGACGCCACGCTTGGTCCCCCGTTCGTGGCTTCATTTTTTCTTCTCGCGAAGGCTGCACGGAGGGCTTCCTTCAGTCACGATCTGCGGTCCCCTCCCTGTCCTTTATATCCCTCCCGTGCGATGTTTTCGGCTGGGCCCAGGGAATGCGGCCAAGTGGTGAGGTCTCCGCGGCGGTGGCAGCGGTGGTCGTGGTCTCAGGCTCGACTCTTTGCGGTTGCAAATACCTGCACGCTCCCTTGACACCATGGGGGACATTTCTCACGAAAGGGGCGCGTGCGTGCGTGCGTGCACGTGTGGTCGCGGCGGTGGAGACCCGGTGACCCGAGTTAGATTCCCACTCACGGCCAACACCATGTGACGACTATCTGAACCGGCCCTGCGCCTCCCCTAGGTCGACTCAGCCTGAAATGAGAAGCTGGTGCGGTGTGTAAACATCGCCACTGGGGAAGCAAAGGCTGCCGGGCGTGGTGCCGTGCCGGCTTTCATAGGTGCTCGCTAACAGCTCTTGCCCCACCAGTCTGTTAAGGCTATACGGGGGGAGGGGATCTTTGTCTGTGTGCACGTGCACGCATGTGTGCGTGCGTGCGCGATTACACAATGCCCGTGGAATAACGTACAACCCTCTTGCACAATGCGCGGGTCACAGGAATGAGCGTGCCGATGTGTTTGTTGAAGCGCTGCTCCTCATTCAGCACAACGACATTGGGAGTTTCAAGTGCCCACCGCCCCCCCATCCATAGCGGCGGAGTAACAGAGCACGACAGAAAACAGAAGCCGAAGGGGGCCCCGCCCGGGCGTGCAGAGACAAGAAACGGCACGCGATGATTTTGATTTAACACAAAAAAAAACCCACGTGCCCGCGCGCACGACTGCAGATTACATGTCTCCCGCAGCCACTCATTAAGACGAACTCGCTGGGGGAAAGGCGGTGGGGGACTTCACTTTGCACTTGTTACGTGAACCCCAGGCGCAGTGCTTCCAGCTGTCGGGGGTTACGAAAAGCACTGCCGTGGTTTCCGCCGCGCTGGACTGATTGCTGCGAAGACACGCAAGTGGACAGGCCACATTTTATCCCACCACGAGTCGTTGTACATTCGGCAAGCAGCGATCGGAACGATGAGAAAACTCTCGGCCACCGTTCAGGCTGCTCCCTCCTTGTAGAAGTGCAATGCGAATACTTCCCTTTTATTACACGCTTTTATTTAACTCACTCTGTTGTCGTTGCTGTTGTCATTGTTGTTGTGTCCTCAAATCTTGTAACTCAATTTTAACCCACTTCCCAATGTGGTATTGACTGCAAACTTGGTATACTTATGTCATACTGATGACAATACTATATTCTATCATAAAAAATAAAAATAACATATTTTAACATTATTTTTTAAATGTTATGTTTCGGCTTGGGTCTAATTGTCCACGGTAAACTGACGTTGGCTGTAATTGACCACGGTCCCTTACGTTATGGCAAGCTTCGGGGCCACTTCCTGGAATCGTGGAGTTCTTCCATTACTAGTACGGTACATTTCATTAAAGCGTGTTTTTTTTTAATTACCTATGTATCCTGAAATGGGTTTCACTGAGTCTCAAATCAATTTTTCCAGAGCGTCTTGCTGCTGCCACCTTGGAGGGTTTTAGACAAATTTCCGATGCTTGTGATTTACCAACTCGTGCTGTCACGAGTGCGTCTCTTCCTGTAGGAGGAAACTGTAGTAGCCGGAAAAAAACCTCCCCCCGTGAAAATAAAGCAATGATGCGCAAAGATCCGCAGAGATGGATTTGACACGAAAATTTGTTTTCTCTACTGCCATCACCTGTCCACGTCACATCCCGGGAAGTTTTGAGAGTTTCACAAATCTGCGTGATCCACCGACCCTTCCCTCCAAAGCGCTTCCCATGGCGTGTGCCGGCCAGAGGAGAGACTTGTCAGTACGTTACCACGCTGGGTCAGCGATGCCCTCGCCAAATGTTAGCCGTTCGCTGTGTCCGAGAATCGAACTCAGATTGCGGGGTTCATGGCACTTTGTGATAACCACTGCACCTCCTCCCACTCCCCCCATGTACCGGCAGTTCCTGAGATATTAAAGTCCAACAAGTCTCACGAACGAAACCTGTCTGTAAGTCAAGGACTGCCCGTATATCACCAGATACATATTCGAACGGAGTCGTGTTACAAGGCAAAGAAATTTAATTTTAGAACTTCTCCCATCAGCGGAGGATCCCAACAGGTTGTGAAACTACCCCCTGAAGTTTCAAACTGCAGATCGTCAGCGCTGCTGGGTGTCATTTGAATCGGGTTGTCTCATTCCACCCCCGGGCAGTGCATGTCCCCTGCTCTCTAAAGGCAGGTTCCCCTTGCGCTGTGGTGGTCGGCTGAATGAAGTGGAACACCACAGTTGTTTTCTAGACCAAGGCCATCAACCTCGTTAGACTTGAAGAGCCCCGGCTTAGCCGCGGGTGGCTGCTCAGATATGAAACTCAGGATCTCAGTGGGGCTGGCTCAAGGCTCTGCACACTGACATCATTCCTGCTGCACCATCCACTCACCATCCACATGGAGAATATGATTTAAGAATAACAAGTGTGTTGTGTACATTTGCCATGGTTTCATATATATAATATATACAACTGCCACACATCGATGTATCAATACTGTGATTACCTGTAACTTGAAGGCTAAATAAGCCAAGCCATGAGATAAAACAGCTGGGTAATTTTCATGGGAATGAAACTCAAATCCTGCTGAAATATTTAAAGAAAGCGAAAGTAAATTAATAAATAACATCACCTACTTCTTTGGGGACCTTTTCCAACAAACAGCTTTTATTCACAAAAAGCCACGCCACCGCCATTACATTACAAAAAATAAGTCTCGGAACACCGACAATTTACTCTGAGTAATGAGGTGCGAGGAAGCGTGAATGACTGCACGAATAATCGAGCAATGATGAATGGCCGGAGGAAAGTTGTGGGCTGTTTACCTTTTCATATGAGCTGCCCTCACAGCATCGCTCCTCTCGACGGATCGTGGCGCTTCGTACTACACAGCGAGTGTGAACGTAGCCCATCGTGCTCATTGTGGCTCATTGTATGTATCTTGTCAGCGGGGGAGGGGAGAGGGGGGGGACAACCAAGCCCATTACGCGTTAATGCATCATGAAGCATTGCAGGTAATTATTATAATTGCTATTTTATTTTACAGAGTGCAATTCACGTAAATTGAAGCCACAGGCAGAGCGGGAAGACAGCAAAATCCGGTGCCAGTAATTTTCCGTCTGACAGTTTGCGTATATTTAAGTATATTCACGCATAAGTGTGTTCACGTATATAATAAGTACGTCAACGTACGAGTTAATTAGCTGCAGGGGGAGGAAAATAAATAATTGCAACGTAAATATTTTACTTGCACGAGTAAAGCACATTGGGAGAATATTTCTCTTGTTCGGAAATGAGCGACAACAAAAAAAAGACACATTTTCTACCGCAGCTTATGTTACTAATCTGGCGGCGAGTAATTAACGGCGGGCAAGATTGTCCAAGCGAGTGGATATTATTTTGCGAGCGCGCGCGCGCGTCCACACGCACGTCTCGGTCTCGTATGCTCGACTCGCTCCGTGGGATGCATGGAGCACGGAAGGGGGGAAACACAGCCCGCAAATTAAACTCAGCAGCAGCATCAGCCGACGCAGCAGCAATAGCCACCGTTGAAATGCGAGCGATCCCATCAACAGCATTTGTCAGGAATTTTGCGGCTCTCATTGTAAAAATATGAGTTGTTGCAGCCCCCCCACCCGCCACCCCACCCCCCACCACAAATGTTTTTGTTTCATTTTTCAGCAGTTGCGTTACGTTTGGTTAGTTGAAGTAAAAACTAATTATGATTGCTACCGCTGCATCGGCAGTGGTGCAGAAATACAATTAACTGCAACAACAAAGAGGCAATTGACCGCACCAAATAATAGGTGACGTTTCAGCCAATGCACCTTCTTCATTTCCGTTCAGTAAAGAAGGGCTATTGCCCGAAACGTCGGTTATCATTAATTATATTAAAGGCCACAGTGTCATTGACGATCAGCAGCAAGGCACGTGTGCGCGCAGTGTCCAGAGATTTGTGTCCGTATGAGGTCATCGTCATCATCATCATCCTTGGTCATTCCACTGCTGGATGAGAAAGCCTCCCCCCTCAATCCACCCCGTGCTGCTGCTGCTCACGATGAGATGGATTGACGACGATGACGAGATATCAACTTGGAAACAGAAGCAGCAGCAGCAGTAGCTGCGTGCTGGGTGGATTGTTGAATGGCGAGGATCGCGAGAGATGGTGACCGCTTTTGGGAGGAGGCCTTCTCATCCAGCTGCTGCTCGCGAGAATATCTCTCCTCGTCGTCGTCGCTCCATCTCCTCCGCACACGTTCTCGCTCCGACCCAAGCCCACTTTGGCTTTTCTTCACAGTGTTTGAGGGAATGCAAATCTAACCTGTGCGCGCGTTCCCTTATCCGTGAGTTCCTCTTCCTGCGTCTCATAAAGTCACGCTCGCGTCAATCTCCACGCTCATTTTGCACGCTTTTCGTTTTCGCTGTTGTTGTTGTTGTGTTTTTCAGACGCGCGAAACGGGGTCAGACAATTATGATGGAAGCGGCACGCGCGATGGGGATGCGTGTTTTTCGTTGACTAATTCAAACAGTGTGTGGTGTGGTGGGGGGTGGGTGGATGGGTGGGTGGAGGGTCGCACGGAATTCTTTGGCACGCCAAGAAAGGGCTTCTTTGTTGGAACTTAGCGGTAGCAAACGCGGCACCGGTCCTGCGTAGCTTCACAGGTGAGGCGCTTCTTGAAGCG